ATTCACACTGTTTACGCTCCGTATCTTTCAACATACAGACTGGACAGCCAACGCGGACATCTCCTAGCTATGTGATCAGCTGCTTCTCTCCAGGGAACTGTCGCACTCGTCACTCTGTTAAAGCTTGAAACTTAATAGTTACTATAACTCGGCTCGGCCTCTTGTATGAGACAAACAAGTTTCCGCTCTAATAAGACACCACAGCTGTCATTCCTCCAGGCTCCCGAGCGCTGGGTAATGTTCCCGGAGTGCTGAGTAGCGCGTAGTTATGGTGTAAATAGTCAGCTAATGACGCTCGACCACGTAACATCTGTGCAAAATGCACTCATTTGTGGGTTTGTTGATATTAGTGTGGCAGCTAAGGCGGGTCATGGGTAATTTTACCCTGGGCAAAGTTACCCGCGACCTGCTATAGCTGCTACACTAATCCCAACAAACCCACAAAAATAGGGTAGTGGTGGGTGAAAAGGAGAGCTGTAATGTTGCTTTTTTTTCCGCGGAAACGCGAGGTCGGGGAGAGGCTGAAATATTTATTGGTTAGGGGATGCAGAAGCTGGAGAGGGCTGAAATTTTGCTTTGGAGGCAGGAGTTGGAAAAAAGATAGAGGATGGGAACAAGGATATTAGTCACGAGCTGGAGACCGGGACTGGTAAAAAGTGGAGAGCAACACAGCACTGCAAAGGAAAGTAAATTAACGTCGTACGAAAGGAAGTAAGCGAATGGAAACTCAGTGGGGACTTTCCTTATTTGTGGCGCCTTTGCTTAGGTGAAGCTGAGAACAAATAAGTTCCACTGGGTTTCACTGAACGGGAACACTGGAATGCTTGCATGCGGAGATATCAGTGCTTGGAGAAAACAGCAACACTAGAAACACGAATGCACTGGTTTCCTTTTATTCCAGTATGATTCAGAGGCACTTCCTGGTCTTAGCAGTTTTTTTTGCTTCCATTCAAACTTGTTGGTTTTCAGTTTCTCATAAGCAAGAGCGTCGTAAATGGGGAAAGTTCCGTGCTAATGATGGGTTTATTATATTGGACATTTTCGATCCAGACAGGCCCGGGTTCTTTTTTTTTTTTCGTTTTTGCTTTTATTCATAAGCTCAGATTTGCCGTAGTTTAACTTCCTCTTTAGTGCAGTGTTTTACCTTTCTGTTTACTGTTTTCGGC